CTACATATCTTTTGAAACCATGTGCATGTCTGGAATATGCAGAAGTCAGAAGATATCATCAGTTCCCCTATAACTGGAGTTATACTTGGTTGTGACCCACCATGTTGTGTTTCTAACTGTTGAGCTACCTCTATAGGCCCCTTTTCACCTTACTTTAAGACAGGGTCTCTTACCTAGTCTAGAGATCACTGAGTTGACTACACTCTCAGGCCACAATGCACAAAGATCCTCCTGTCTCTGGCCCCTTGGTGCTGAGATTAAAGGTCTCTTGTGTGAGTTCTTAACAGTTCATTTCAGTGAAACAGGACCAGTAATTGGCCAAATTAACAAATGTTTTAGACTGCGCTGTGTCCCCAAAACTCATTTATTGATGTCCTGCAACTATGCATTTTAAAATGAGATATATTTCTCATTGGTAAACTGGAGATGAGTAATAAAGGTTAAGTGAGGTCTCCAGGTTAAATTAGGTAGACACTAACTCCAACAGTGCAGCTATTCTACTAAGAATGTAGAGCTGGAGCTGGGGCTGATTGCACATGACTTTAATTTTAGGGGCATAGGCAGGTAGACGTCTACCAGTTCGGGAGAAGACTGATAAATGTAGTGACTTCCAAGTCAGCCAGGGCTGCAAGCAGAGACGGTGACTCAAAACCAAACAACAAGCCAAAAGAAGACACACACACACACACACACACACATAAACACATACACACTCACACACACAAACACGCATAACAACAATGAAATGGGAGCACCCAGTGAGGATATTCTCTTCCAAGGCCTCACACAACACCAACTCTGGGGAAAACTTGGCTTTGCTTTCCAACTTTCAGAAAGGTAAAGGAATAACTTCTGTAGCTGAAATAGTAGGGAATGTGGTGGTCCATTGCCACTAAACTTCTGGGAATAATCTCACTAATACAAAGCAAGAAGAAAGTCACAAAAGGACATCCGCCATGCTACTCCAATTATAGGAGGTTTGAAAAGAAAGTGAAATCATCAGTGTTAGCAACAGCTAGGGTTCTGACTACACGACCACTAGAAGATTGTGGAAGCAGTTTATGCCTGTTTCTTGATCAGGGGTCAAGGATGTGCAGCATTTGATAGAGGAGAATTCATTCTGCATTCTAATTATGGGTAGCACGCTTGTCTTTTAGGATAAAGCATTTACCTAACAATATCTCTTAGCAGAGCTCTGGCTGGTGTTCCATGGGACAACAAGGACTGTGCGGTGTTTTGGAGGATGGGTGTGAGGGTTTGACTTAGAATGGCCCCAAAGTCTCAGATATTTAAATGATTTCTTCCTACCTGGTAGATGTTGGAGGTGGATAGGGAGGTGAAACATTGTGGGATGAGGGGGTGTCACTGTGTGTAGTCTTTGAAAGTTCAGACTCACACACCTGGCCCACTCTCCACCTCACTGCCTGCCTGCTGCCTGTACATCAGAATGGAAACCCTCAGCTACTGCCTGGCACCATGCATCCTGCCATGATGGTCATGAACTAAGTAAGCTCCCAGGTAAAGCCTTTTCGTTTAGAAGTTGCCTTGGTCATGGTGTCTCTTCAGAGCAGTGGGACAGTAACTAAGACAATGGAGAAATACAGGAGGCTCAAAATTCCCTTTGGTCCCTCGTATTCCAGATCTACATGTCCTTACCTTTTTTGTCTGCAAACTGTCCCTCGGGGCAGGGACTGCAATCAAAACAGCATTGGGGGGCTCCCAGCCTGGGCACTTGGCTGAACCCTGGAAGGCAGCTTTCACTGCAGACAGAGGTGGGCACCTAGTAACAGTGAGCATAGTGTCACTGGTGACTCGTTAGGGATACAGATTCTTGACCTCACCCTAAGAACCAGAACAGGAAAATTCCCTCTCAGCCCACTAAATGAGATGCCTTTCAGAAACATGTCTACCCGAGCAGATGCCAGACTGGAAAGGTGCCTTTGAGTCTAATAAACAGAGCTACATGTGATTTACTTGGCTACGGGATTAAATACATAGCTAAAAAGTTTGATGTGTTGTCTTTCCAGTCTCTCTGGGGCTCCTGCATCAACAATTGAAGAGATGGGGGCAGGAGAGAAAGGTAAAACTACAGACTGCTCTTCCAGAATATCAGGGTTCAATTCCCAGGACCAGTACAGCAGCTCACACTGTAACTCCAGTTGCAAAGGATCCACTGCCCTCCTCTGGCCTGCACAGACACCAGCACACAAATATAGGTGCAGGGAAACATGCATACATGCAAAATAAAATATAAACAATAATTTGGGTATTGGCAGTCATTACAAAAGTCCATATA